GATGGCTGCTGATGCTGTGTTGATGTTCTGTTGATGGTCGCTATTTTTGGGGTATTTTTTGGGTTACTCCCAGTCTGTTGATATCTTAAACCCATCTCCATAGAGTGGTGCTGACATCTCCTAAAAAAAAACTTTTGAGAGATTCCTTTCCCCAAGGCAAAGGCAAACCAAGCTGACTACAGAAATAAAATATTTCTGTATTTTTTTTATGTCTGACTACAGAAATAAAATAAAACTTTTAAAAGTTACATTGTTCCCAACAATCAGTGCTTTGTGTGGAATTTAAGGACTTGCCTGAGTAAGGAATCAGCTGGAAAACGGGAAAACCATTATTCCTATGCAGAGCTCTCTCTGCCTCAGCACTGTCTTAGTGTTCACTGAAATCCTDGGAACCCTGAGGCTGAGCAAACATTCCTTGGAGTGGAAGTTCCTGCATGGAAGTTCTTTCCACGTCAGTGGAAGAGCTTTTGGTCACTTCTGGACCAACCTGGTCTCATGGAAGGTGTCCCTGCTCATGGGCAGAGAGGTTGGGACGAGATCTTTTAGGTCCCTTCCAACCCAAAACATTCCATGATGTTAGGAAAATTAATCCACAAACACCAGAGGTTTATGTCCAAAAAGAAAACAGAGGAGTCCCGTAACTTTATTTGAATAAAGGGAGAGGCCATGGGAGATTTCCATGGGGTCTCTCAAATTGCTAAAGGATGCAGCTTCCTTTTTATCCCAATTTCCTGGCTGCATTTCCCTCTCTCTTTCCCCATTGGCTGAGGTACTTGAGAGATACAGACTCCCCCAATCACCTAATACAGACCACATCTAATGTGCATCCCTCCCCCTTTTTTTTTTATTCATTGTGTCTCTGTTCTTTTTCTCTAAGTCCAGAGATTTARCACTGTCTTGGGTGAGTAACAGTCTGTGTCAATTGTTGGAATTCCTATGGAATTTATGGTTCCTCCCATTGCTCCTTTCTCTTAACAGTGTCTGGCCTTATCTACCAGCAGAACCCATAATTTGTTTGTAAAGACGYTGATCATTCCTTTCAATGATAAAGCAAATCCAGGCCTGAACACCACAATTCTGCCCTGGGGAAGGGAAGCAGATCCTCATGGAAATGACAGAAAGGTGACAGAGAGAACCAGGAATGGGAATGACCRGGAATGAGTTCATTCTCCCATCCCCAAAGAGATGCTGAGGCCAGAGTTTTTCTATGCTTTGATGAATCCTGATTATGGTGCTACAGCTGCTGCTTCTGGAGGCAGTTTTCCAGCTCTTCACCAGATTTCAGATTCCAGGAATCTCTGTGATCCATCTAAAACCYTCCTTGCTGCTGTGTGAACCCTAACACAACAAGCAGGAAGAACAAAGCAGCCTGATCATTCCATTTGGAGGATCTGGAAGGATCTGGAAGGTTCTCATCCCATCACACACCAGTTTACACCTCCCATTGCGACGTGTGAGATTTTTCCATGGAGTGCAGAGTTCCAACCAGGCTTTGTTTCACTTTTTTCCCCCAAAGTTTGACACATGTTCAACTCATGATCCAGCAAAACTTCTTTTCCTGCCAGATTGCTTCGAGGGAGATTCCCTCACCCCCTATTTGTACCATATTAATTGGAGAGCTCTGTGCTCGTCCTTCCTAAATTACACCCTCCTTTCTCAGCCTACCACTTAAATTCACTGGAATCACCCAGAATTCTGCCTGYTTGCAGCTTCTCTCAGCTCGTCACCCATGAGCTCAGTGAATTTATTCCCTAATCYGTCATCCAAACCAGCAATTAAAACTTTGCGTCATCCCAGCGCCAAGAGGAGCCTTTTAATGGATCGTTCTGGCCTGACAGCGAATTGTTGGCTGTGATTTGCTCATGATTTCAGCCTGGCTGGGTTTTCTTAGCTTTGTCTCATGTGACATCATGCCAAAAGCTTTATTAAATCTGAGCTGTGTGACAGGTACCACTTTTACCCTCACAGATTTTGTTATAACACCCACCTGTCACAAAATCTTTGCCGCTCATCCCCATCTCCTCGATAGCCCCTACACCACTGTTTGAAGATCTATTTCAGAGCATTTTTCCAAGTCTGGATTGGTCTTTTTCCAACTCTGTGTGTCCCCAGAGTGTYYCCTATTCCCTTTAATGATGGATTATTTCCACATTTCTTCATGGAAAAGGTCTGGATGTGGCATTCAGTGCTCTGGGCTGGTTGACGAGGKGAGGATCGGTCACAGGTTGTACTAAATGATCCTGGAGATGTTTTCCAACCTAAATGAGTCTGAGAATCTGTGATTTGTTGTCATCCACCTTCCCAAAACACCCAGATYTCCCTGTGAAAAAATAGAAGCAGAAAAGACAGGGTTTGGTATCTGATTAATTTTTTTTCCCCAATTCCTTTGTGCCCAGCCATCACTTTAACTGACAACCCTCATCRATTTGCATATTCATATTGAAAACACTAATTTTTTTCACTTTTGATGTGTTAATTAGTTCATCTCATTAATATCCATGGCAGCAAAAAGCTTCTTAGTGTAGTGTTAGATGTGGTTGTGTCTCCACACCTGTTTTCCCTGTTGCACCACACRTGGAAGCAAAAACTCAACTTCTGACTCTGCCAGCGCAGCTCCAAGTTGTGGGATTGGAAAACAATTCCTACACTGAAGTGGTGCCTCTGAAAATCACCTGGATTTGTTCTCCAGCTCAGCCAAACCCCTCAGTGATCAAATCCATGGGGAAAAAGGAGATTTCTGTGCCTAAAGTTGAGCCACAGAAACCTCAATCTTCTACCTCCAGCCCAGGGAAGGGAGGTGCCAATGTGGAAGAGGAGCTGTGACCTCATAATCAGACCATAATCACCTCCAGCCAAGGACAGTGTTAAAGTATACTTTTTCCTTCTTTATTTGAAAGAGTCCCAGTGATTTTCCACTCAGAGGATCATTCAGAAACTCCACCTCCATRTTTATTTTTCCAAGACCTTCAGCTCCCAACACTGGGAGCTTTCAGTCTGGGAACCAGGTGGGTGAACAGGACAACAAGTAAATCCTATTAAACACAGTCCCTTCACCTCCAAAGGATCAGTCAGGATAATCCTGGCACATTCAGGTGCTTTGGCATCCAGAAATTTCWGGGAAAGGCAGGGTTCTTTGGAATTTGCAGACAATTCTAGAAAACCCCTCTGTCATTTGACCTTCTGGCAGCCCCAAAACTGCTGTGGTGAGGAAGGAGGGAATGAGGGTCTGCAGAAGATCTGGGTGAGGTTTCTCCTCCCTCCTTAACTCTGCCCATCCTGGTTCCCCACACCCTCAGTGGATTTATCTCAACCTTCCACTTGTTTCTTCCCCTCTAGATGGTCTCCCCCGCCAACCAGGTTTTTGCTTTCTCATGTCTAGCGAAACTGGCTGAGGTATAAATTGCTCCTTCTACTTCCTCTTTCTCCTGCCAGCGTGACAGTAAAACAGTTAACGGCTTTGGCCCACGGCCCAAATTTTCTGAGGTTTCTCAAAATCACCCGAGGTCCTGGAGGGAAAAACTCTGCAGGGTATCCATGGAGTACTTGCACATGGAATTGGGATGCACCACAGCCACCACAACCCTAACAACACCTACCCTGAGCAGCTGGACATCTCTTCCTTCTTTTTGGTTTAAAAACTTGTTTTTCCCCTTCTCCATCCTATTTTTCCTTCCCTTTTGAGGTTGTCTTTGGTGAGAGAAAATTAACAGCAGGTTCTGTTGGTATTTTGACAGATGTCATCTCCAGGCACAGCTCACCAGGTCTACTCGGTGGTGTGTCAGTGTCCTCTTGTCCCAGCCCACCATTGCAGTGTCACCTCCTTAATTTCCTTATTTTTTTCCTTTTCCCCTCCATCCATTAAACAAAATGTTTAAAACCAGTTACAGGATCCAAAGCTCACAGCACAAAACATGAAGTTGATGTGGAATCTTTTGTCCTCCTGGAAAACCGGTGCCTCTGAAATGCAGGCACTGTGAAATGCCTCAAAAATCTACATCCTTCCACATGTGCAACCAAAACCCGGCAGAGTTCCAGGGCAATGCTTCAGAAAAAGCAAATATCTCATTTAACCATCAAACACAACAGAAAAAAAACCACCACCCTTCAATTGTTTGGACCAGCTCTGGTTTCTCCCAGGACACAGCTGAGCTAGGGATGCTGCCAGCTTTTCCTTTTCTCTTTTTTTTCTGTGTGTTTTCCAGGAAAGGGAGCTTGCAGCCGGGGCTGTGACCCAAGAAGCTCTGGGCTGTTTGTGTGAGTCCCTGGCTGGCTGCCCTTCTTCTCCTCTGTGACACCCTCAGCCCTCCCTACAGAGCTTTTCTGTCCCCTCTCAGCTGCAGCTCCCGCGGGGAGAGGAGGGAGCCGAGAGTTTGGAGGGCAAAACCGAACAAAGCTCAACACAATCGATGGTTTCTCTGCCAGGAATGTGGGTCTGTGGAAAGCCTCTCACAATCTCTGAATGGCAGGCGTTGGCAACAGCTGTGTGAGGTTGGTTTGACCCTGGAAAAAAAGAGGGGAATAGATATAGGGATGCCTTTTCCAGCTGGATCAGGTCCATATGGAGGCGGTGTGAGGGCAGCTCCCAGCTCAGCCTGCTGCCTCCATCCTTCCCTTCTCACTACCATCTTCTCACTTTCCTCTCTCAGCCACATTTTTCCTCTTTCCCTTTCCCCCTTTTCTCTGATAAGAGAAGCTCATTTCAAAATGGGAACAGGAGGAAAGAGCCTGAGGAGCCAGAAATTGCTGCCCACTGAGGCTGGAGAAATGTCCACAGCACTGCCAGAAATCAGCTTTCCCTCCACCTGCTTGTTCAGATGTGTGATAACCAAACTCACTGAGAAGAAAAACACCGATCACCCCATGGTGCTGACACAGCTGGGGAGCCACTCCCTGTCTTTCAGGCAGGGTGGGATGTTATTCCTYACAGAGCTTTGAAAGCAAGAGACAAAACCGTGCCTTCAAGCACCTCTTCAGAGCAATAACGATTTGAAGCCCTAGTATGTCAAAAAGGCTGTTTTTTATTGTGTTTTCTTCGGTGAGTTGCATGTCTGGGGACACATTGGATTCAAGTAGGCTCAGGAAATCGATGGGAGTTCAGCACCTGACTTATCCAGGCTCTTGAAAATCCCAGGGGAARCTCAACCACAAAACACAAATCTCTGAGAGCAGGAATTATCCCAGAACAACACTTTTATTTCARCCATCGTGGGGAGCTCTTCCAAACCCATCACAATCCGTATGCAAGGACATAAGTGACACTGGCCAGGATGCCCAGGGACATCATTCCGTGGCTGCTTTGCCTGCTGCTGACTCCATTCACGTTGCACAAGGGTTTCTCGCAGCAAGAAACGTTCTGGAAGCTTTGGGTTTGTTGCTGATCCAAYGCTGGACATGTTGGAGAGCACATCTTGGAGATGACGTATTTAGGCTTGTTGGGCTCTGGTGTAGGGAAAAAAAAAAGGGGTAAAAAAGAAAAAGGAGAATGAAAAAGCATTGTTTGAATATTTTTGTGGCTAAATCTGCTTTGGTGAGTAAAGGAAGGTTGGACACTCATCCTCAAGGCAAATTTCTTGGAATTAATCATAGAATCATGGAATGGTTRGGATCTTWAARGTTGTCCAYRRGCAGGGACACCACCCATTAGACCAGGTTGTTCCAAGCCCTGTCCAKCCTGGCCTTGGACACTTCCAGGGATRGGACATSCACAGTGTCCCAGGATCCCAGAACTATTAATGTTGGGAAGGACCTTGAGGATCACCATGTCTAACCATGAYTTCTCTGGGCTCYRTRTTWTGCCARTCCTGAAGTGGAATCAGCATCTGTGGGTGGCTTTCAGGCCCAGCTGCCTGAAGTGATGCTCAGGCTGGGTCATTCCCACCAGGATGTTTTTTTCCTACAACATCAGTCCAGGAGGAATATTCTGTGTGAGTTTTGGGATAAGTGCACATGGAGGTGTTTGAGGGTGCAGACCCCCCAGGACAGACCTGAAGGATTTTGCAAAGTACAAAGAGTCAGCTGTGGTGCTGTTTAGCAAAAACACTTCTCAAAACAACTCTGGGAGTGGAACAWCCACAGCCCCAGGCTTGAATCCACTCCCTGGTGCTGCTCCAAGTGTCTTTAGCATATCCCCAATTCCCAGCAGGAATATTGAGTATTTCTGGACACTGCAGTGACTGCAGGAGTGAGCTACAAGGTCAGTGTCTCTTAAAAGTTGGTGGTCAAGGCCTGTTGTTCCCATCCTGGGATGAAATCCCATTCCTGGGGCTCCTCTCCTGCAAAACAAACGAGGTGCTGTTCCCAAACCTACTTGTCCCGACGTCCTTCCGAACGGTCACACAGTGTTTGTCCTCCTCGTCACACATGGAAATGGTCAAACAGTCCTTGTTGGACTCCTGATCTTGGCAGGTGTAGCACATAAATGGATAAACTAGGGGGGGGAAAAAAAAAATTACAAGGCTTAAAAGCCACAAAAGCTCTGGCACAGATATCTCCATTTCCCTCAGAATGTTTGTGTGGGAATGACCAATGACTTTCTTTATCCCCTGACCCGTGGCAGCCACGCTAAATCCCTCTCTGCCTCCTCCTGCGAAATGCTATCGATCTGTTTGCAATCCCTGGGAGCAGGAGATGTGAGTGGAATTCAAGGATTTGGGGGCTTTTATGATGGAGATTATTGCTGAGCCATGGCAGCTCTGTCCTGAGGGCTCAGCCACAGGAATTGCCAATTAATGCTCAGGGTTTCTCCTGGGCAGGGCTTGGCAGGGAGAATTTAAAGATGCCTGGAGCATTTCAAGGAGGTGGACAATGCCCAGTGTCCTACTTCTCTTTCATCTGGCTCAGAGTCTGCTGTCACATCTCCTTTTTTGTGCTTGAACGTCACTGAACTGGCCTAACCTCAGCTCAGRGAAGTCTGAGAGCCCTCAGATGCTCTGTTTTCAGAATAAAATAGGGAACAAAGGGAAAATCTTAACCATAACCCTGGTTTAAGTTCTAAGGGCAGATTTGGTGAAATAATTCCTACTTCTGCAACAGTGGCAGATGATTGGCAGGAAAGTCACGCAGTGATGAGTTGTSTTTCCTGTCAAAAATGTCCCTTCCTGCCCTCCAAACCAGAATGTGGTAGGACAAACCTCTAGAAAGTAGTAACAAAGAAGAGCAAAACTAGAGTCTGGGTGATAAACCACACCCAAATGTGTGCAGAGCACTCCCTAGCTGGGAAGGCTGGAAGGTTTTATGGTGGTGGTTGAGTTCTGAGCTCGTGAAATCACCCAGAGTGAAGTGTGGGATTTTGTGATGAGTTTCTTTAAAAACAAGGATAATTTTGTTTTTCCTTAAAAACAGGGATAATTTTTGGAAGGAAACAAACCCAAATGCTGGCTAAGTTCCTGTTGAGTCTGGGGACAGTCTGTCACTTTGGAAAGGGCGAAAGCAACCAACGGATGTGTCCCTGTGAGCGCAGCTTTGCCCGATAAGAAGTTGGCAATGAGAAAGTAGAAGGGGGATGGAGGTCACACTGTTTAACAAGAAGTTTCTGATAGAAGGGAAGGAAAACATCATCAACTGTTCATCCTGTGCAGCTTTTTTGTTTTGTTCAGCTCTAAAAGAAGTTGAATTTTCATGTGCAGAGTAGAGGAGATTCCAGGAGGTTTTAAGGAATTTTTATCCCAACCTCGAATGATGTTTTTCCCTGAGCAAGCCCAGGAAACACGAGGTGGTGAAAACATTAGGGAATGGGTGCAAAGCCAGGCATGAAAACACCCTCAGAGGGTAATTCCCAAGGATTATTGGTCAAACCAACTGGAGCAATGGAAGAAATTTTTCCCTGTGAGKGTRGAAAGGCCCTGGCACAGGTTTSCCAGAGAAGCTGTGGCTGCCACATCCCTGGGAGTGTTGAAATCCAGGTTGGATGGGGCTTGGAGCACCCTGGGATAGTGGGAGTTGTCCCTGACCATGGCAGGGAGGTTAGAATGAGATGATCTTTAAGATCCCTTCCAAACTATTCCATGACTATGTGGTTTTTAAGTGATTTTGGTAGATGGATGCGATAAAAGAGTAAAAGAAGAAAAAAAAAGAGTGGATGCAATTAAATAAAGAAAAATAAATTACAACAAATAAAACTGAGACACTTAAATGCAGGATGTCAAACACTGGCTCAGTTACTATTCACAACCACAGTGGCAACAGCAGGAGTCAACAGTGTCACATTCCAGCCACAGACATCACCCAAGGGGACACGGGCAGGAATGTCATGTGCAAGATATGCAAAGTGGCCTTTCCACCCTGGCAAGACCTCAGCCCCAGTGCCCAAATCTGTGCATGGCACTTCCAAAASTATGCAGAGCATTTGGAGAGGGAGCAGAGGAGAGGGAGGAGAAAAGGTCAGAGGTCTTGAAAATGTGACCTTGTCAAAAAGGTTCRAAGTTCTTTGTTTGTTTATTGGGAGTGAGAATGAGGAAAGTCACAGGAGTCTTCTTCRTGCAAGGAAAAAGAAGCAGCAAAGAAGAAAGCAATAAAATATTTTATGTGTCCCCTGGTGGAAATATGGAACAGTGCAAAAAGAGATGCTAAGAGATATTAAAACAAAATCCCTAAAAGGATGAGAATCTCTGAGCAATTCCAGGCTGCGGAATCTTCCCTGTTGGAAACTTTCAGAGACACCTTAAAAAAAAAACATCTGCCTGGTTTTGTCCAACATGGCAGCAAGGACTTGATRATCTTGGAGATCCKTTCTAACCTTAATGATTCTAWGATTCTGTGTAAAGGATCAAGACCTTTTACCATTTTTGCTGCACACAAAAGATCCATAACAGTGAGTTCACGAATGGAAAAGGCAAAATATCCTCTTTGGTAGGCTGAGATCAGCATTTTTACCAAAATTTGGTCATTAGAGACTTGGATGGGACCCAAGATACATGAGAAGGATCCAGTGACAGTTTCCACATTTTCCTTTGCCCATTTTTAGGCCACAAAGTTCCAATCCCTTATTGTTGATCTAGACTGGGCTGCAGAAATGTGCTGTATAAATCCTTAAATCCATTGGGAATCTGATGCCAATATAAAATRTCACCAGTAAGGAATCCCACCATGAACCTGTGCTAACAATTTTGGATCYCTGTGACCTTTCCACCTCATTCTGGGTCATGCTGAGAACACTGCCTTTGAAAATTCTCCTCTTCTGTGCATCTTGTGTTGCTTAATTTGGGAATAAAAAATCTATTTTTTTTAGGATGGAATAGTACTTTCCCAACCTCAAAACTGGYCAAAGCTCTTRCTGGAGAACCATTCCAAAGGACGTRGGAGTAAGGGGTTGATACATCAGAGWTAATTAATTAATTAGATGTCTCTTTCCCAACCAGATTCATATCACAGTTTCTGGGAAACCATCAGGTGTGGAGGAACTTTTGGTACTCTGGTCATCATTACCACATGCCAGGAGTGTGTATCTCACTGCCAGAAGGAGGGCAACACTCAGACGTCCCTTTGGGAGCGGGATGTCTTTAACATGAAAAGTCCTTTGACCTCCGCCGCTGATTTAATCTACAGAAATTCCAACTGTTGCATTTCCTCGGAAGACACGTGGCAAACCACYACAAGGGAGGAAGCAGCAGGACAAAAAAAAAGCCTCTAAAGTACTCAAAAGCTGATCTGAATTTAAAAAATACAATTTTTTATGCTTTCTCTCATTTCCAGCTTGCCTCTTTTTGGGAGATCCCAAAGACCACTGTGTGGCTTTAACCTGTCAGCCAGTACTGTATGATTAGAGCTCTACCACTGGAAAACTTAATTAATTTATCAGCTTCTTAATTCTGCATCARATCATCAAATCAAGGTGCAAAAGGACGTTGGTGACACCATGACAATACTGCAAAGTTGGTGACAGCCCTCTTGAGAAGTTTTGTCCCAAACTGTCACCACCTTCCCTCTAGCCCTTATTTTAAGTAGGAGCAGCRTGAGAGGCTCACCTTGTTCCACACAYARGACAGCAGCCAGCAARGTGACCAGAGGAGTCTTCATCTCCAGCAGATCCTCCCAGCAGCACTGGGAAGCTCTTTGGAGGGCAGGTTTTATACCCCAGCCCAACAGCAGCAGTTTTACAGGTTCCTAGCGGGTGGACATGACAGCAACCCAAGGGTGTGGAATGTTTCTGTGGGAGTTTTCCRCAYCAGAGCCCTTGGAACGGGCTGGCASCTTCTGGAAAAGCCATTTCAGCCACGCATTTCTTGCTCTTCTGGTCATGTGAGTGATGGGAAGTCGGGATCTGCTCTCTCCTCCACTGGATTTTTTGCCTTTCCTTCCTTCCAGAGCCGCTGCTCTGATGAAAGCAGAGCCTGGAGGCACGGGGAGATAGTCCTAGGAATGAATTTTTCTAATCCCTTTGGATAGACAGCACGTGATGTTCCAGGGTTTGTACCGTTCRTTGGCTTTAATTATTCAGCAGCACCAGACTCAGCCTCTGAGCTGGCCTAAGCTGGTTTACCTCCAATAAAATCAGTGTGTTTTACACTAAATTAAATTAGCTAATGGTTGGTTAAACAGAAGATTTCCCTCAAATTTTCACGTCAGTCTTCATTTMTTTATCAATTTTCCTCTGGTTAATCCCTCTTCTTGCTCTTCTCCTGCTTGTAATCCTCAAATACCTCGTATAATTTTGATTTAATGAAGTTTTGCTGCTGTCCAGGGATTCTTTAGAGGAGCTGCTTTTTTTTCCACGCCCAACAGTTTCTCGAAATCAGGCCTCGATTTCCAAGCCCGCAAATTGGCACCCTGGAATTGCAGCTCGGCTCTGGAAACAGCTGTCCCTCAAAGTATCATTTCTTTTCAATCTCTCCTCTTAAATCCATCCTTTTGCTTTTATTCCTCTGTGTTGCTCCTCTCCTCTGAATTCCTTAAAATCTTTTTCTGAYAGTCTGGGATAGAGACCCTCATTCRAGATGCATCTTGTAAGAGCCWATGCTGCCAAGTTTGCAGACTTTCTTCAAAAACAAGATTCGTCCTGGACAGCATAAAGAAAATATTGTCAAACCCCGCTTTTTCTGGCAATTATGGGATAACTTAACAGGCTATTCCTTGCGTGTAGCCATCAGCAGGGTATTTTTATATTTTTCTAACATGAATCATTCCTGCACCTGATGATTTCCCGATCTATGTGATCGTCTGATGCCTTTTTGAGGCCCTCCTGGTCTGCTCCTGGAATGATATCAGCAAGTGGTGAATTCCAGAGTTGTTCAAGCCCTGTGTCCAAATGGACATTGCCTGGTTTGGGAGGATGGTGAGGTCAGCAGGGACGTGGTGACGATTGAATTGAGCCTTGTTCTCCAGACAGGACAAATTGATCTCCTGCCCGGGTGCCTTGTAAACAGGTTTTTCTTCCCAATCAGTGGGTGTGGCTCCTTGCTGGCCTTTTGCAATGAGGGTGAAAAGAAAGAACCCTTTTATCCCTTCTTTTTGGTATTATTTGTTCAATAGATTTGTTATGTTTATTCCTTTCCCCTTCCMCATCCYTGMTCCTGTTGACTTYCAYGGAATCCTAGACTGGGTTKGTTGGAAGGGACCTTAAAAAYYCTCTTGTCCCAMCCCCCTGCCATGGGCAGGGACACCTTTCACAAGACCARRTTGCTCCAAGYCCTGTCCARCCTGGCCTTGTTGAMTTTTCCAAAATCAATTTTATTCCTACATGAACCTTCAGGGAATAGGACCAGTCCAAGTCGACTTTGAAGGAACAGTGAGACTAAAACACTCCCAGCACATCCAACACATGTGTACTAAGGAGAGAAATTTGGGTTGGAAATGGGATTTTCTGTGTTTTCTGGGAGCTGTCTCCAGGACATGAATGTCTTCCTTAGTACCTTGGTGGACTAAKGCTGGAGCATTCCCACTTCCTGGTGTATGGAGAGCTGGAAAAGAGATTTATTTCCCAAAARGGCAGATTACAAAACTCAAAAGCGCTCAGAGGCTTCACTGAAGGATCCAGCATGGAGAGGGTGTTTCCTGCAGCCTGGGATCACAGCCTGGAGGACGGATTCCAAATCAGGAGTAAGGCTGAGGAAGACTGAAAAAAAAAATCCCCAAGGAAGCTGAGTCACCTCCCTGGAGTAATCTTATCATTATCCATTTGGGAAAATTAAAGTGGACTCAAATTGGAGCCATGAGTTGGCAATGGACTTGAATTGGAGCCATGAGTTGGCTCTGTGACAAGAGATCAGCAGTTCACTTTGGAAAAGGGCTGCTTTTGTCCCATTCCTTGGCTTCCAGAAGAATTTTAGATCGAGTGAAGAGCTTCATTTGATATTTTGCATCCGTCTTGTCTCTTGCTTTGGCATTGAGGCACTGTGTTGGATCTGGGCAAATAAAGAGGGGAAAGGGGGAGAAATTTCATGTTATGAGGGAAAAGGCAGGGGGATTATTCAAGGAGAGCAGAAGGCAGCACAGATGCTCCAAACCCAATTTTGGGGAAACCCTGAGAGAGGGAAAAGATAGGCSAATGTTAAAGCACTGCCTGCAGATGCCTCATTTAGGCAGGGAAAGGCCTCCTTGGCTGATCCGTGTCCTGGTGCGGTGACTCAGAGCTCTGAAAAAAATGAGTTTTATATAATCCACAGGGAGAGAGAGGCAGTTACCTCCCAGGAGTAATCCCAGCTATTGGAATGAGACTCCCATCTCCTTCCCAAAAGCCCTCCAGGCATCCCAGATGTCTCTGCTGGGCAGCTGAACACTCCCATGTGAGGAGTGTGCAGTCATGGGAGGCACCAGAAACCCAGGGTGAGGGAAGGATTTGGAATTAGGGAGCAATACCCGCGTGGGAGGTTTCACATTGGGATTTTTGCAGGAAGGTTGGCAGAGTCTCCTCTTACACAATGTTCCAGGGGAGAGTTCACTGCGGGAGCTCTCGTGTTTTCAGGATCTCCTGTGCCTCAGGGAAGTTGCTGCTCCCACCTCCAGATAAGGACTTTGGGATGTGGGTCAGCTTTGGAGCACATGGATGTGTTTTGTTAGGCTCTAGGGAAAAAMCTGTGGGATCAGGGGGAAATCAGACAAGAAGGAGCCAGCCAGGATGGAGCTGATCCCTTAGCGATGGTACTTCTGGATTCCCAGTGCTGTTTATAACTTCTCTGTGCAACAGCCATAACCAGGCCATGAAACCCTCCAGGGATGTCCCACATGCTTCCATCCCCTTTGCCATGCCAGGATCCTTCCCATCCCAAAATAGAGGCACCTGCCTAGTTCAGGCACTTCAAGACATGACCTTATTTTAAATCTGGCTGCCAAGGGCAGGTCTGGACTCCCAAGCTCAGCAGAACAAGACCTCAGGCCATACCAGCCCTGTCTTGGCCTTTCCCTGTGCCAATCATTGTCCCTAAAGAATCCTAAACCTGTGGATAGCACAGGATGAAGATTGTTCCAAATAGTTCAGTTGTTACCATGTTATGATCTGTGTTACCGTATTATGATCTGTGTGTTATGATCTGGGGCAGAATGTGGACACTTTGAATTGGCTTCTTGGGGTTTTTTGGGTCCATGTCACTTGAATATCCCTAATTTGGCAGGAAGGGATGCGGGGTGAGGAGAAAAAACTGGGCAGATGGATGGAGCCAGCTGGGACTGGAGATAAAATCCATGGGGAAAATGGAAAGATTCATGGCCAAACATGGRACATCCATGGCCAACCTTACATTCACACCAAGGAGGGAACAATGAGCTGAGGCAAGGAAACAGAGGGTGGATGGAAATAAACAGAGTAAGACTGGGTGAAGAAGCCAGTGAGGAAGTCTGGGAGRGAAAACACCAGAGAATGCAGAGCTGGGATTGGATATGGATGGRAGGAAGGTGGGCATGAAGGGATGAGAGCAGGTCCAGGGATGAGCTGGAGCTGTAAGCCCACGTTTCCTCTCTAAAGCTGCTGTAAGAAATTWAGATGCCACCGTTCCTGAGCGTTGCTGTTCTTCTGCTCACGGAAAATACCCACTGGAGTGAGCAGAACATGGAGCTGGGCAAGGAGTCCACAGAGGGAAAACCAGSAGGGTGAGCTGCACCCAACTCATTWCCCTYGGAGATCTTCCTCGGGTTGATCTGGTGGAGAGCTCCTTCAGCCCAGGAGAAAGCAGTTCAGCCTCCCTGGAAAGGTCGGAGTGAGCAAACCTCTCATTGCTAAGATTATCCACAAGGAAGGTCAGAGCAGGGTAATGAGTCCCTTCAATTTTAACTTGATGGGCAAACATAAAAGATTTATTTTCAGCGTTAATATTTTTTTCATAGATGAGTCTGAAAAATTCCAGGTTTCTTTCCAGAAACCATCTGTCTTTTCCCACTTTAAGCACCATGCAAGATACTTTTCAACCTTTTCTAAATAATCCTAATGCTTCTAAAGGAATTTCCAYTGGAAGATCTTAAACCAGTTTAAAGAAAATCTCAAGATCCCGTCCCATCAGGCCTTGCCTTGTCCCTTCTGTTTCCTGGAGAGCTCAAGGCAGCTGCCCCAGAAGAGTAATTGAAAGGAAGCTAAATGGAATTCAGTTTATTCCCAAAATGTAGCTACAAAAATGACATTTCTGCCAATGCAGAAWAAATAAAATCTGGGGAGAGACTTCCTGAAGTGAATGCAAAGTAATTTTAATATATTTCAGCATTATTCTCATTCAACTTGCAGGTGAACGCCTCCGCTTTTATCCCGTAACGTGGATACATCCAGCAGCTACGCCCAGTGTGCCACACCACGCAGCCACACAATAGAATAAAATAACACATTATTGTGCCCAGTTTCTGTTTAACAACTGGAAATATTAAAGGCTTTCTCAGAGCAAAATGATACAGGGYRGAAAATGGGGRAAAAAYGGCAYGAGAGAATGGYAGGGATAAAATGAAARGCAAAAAAATGCACRGAGTTACAAATGCCAAGAGTGRGAGAGATGGTGACCACATGGGGCCATTCTGCACRTGCAGGGCTCCGTTTTATCCCTTTCTCCCCCAAAAATCATTTTGATTGCCATCAGAGCATGTAAAGAGCAAAAATATCTCTTGATGGGATGTGACCTTCCAGGCGGGAGGCACAGGGCAACATTCCCACCTT